GATTTGCTTTTTTATTTTTAAAAGAGTATGTGGCGGAAAGGGGACAGAGAAGCAGGCAGAGTAGTGTGGCAAGAAATAACATTTACGTTAAGTAAGACCTGTGTTCCTGAAAATCTACATTTAATAAGGTTATATTTTATTCCTCTGTACTATGAAGTATCAAGATAGTAAGCTCTAGTGCTCTTAAGTTATTCTTTCATTCTGTGCTTGACAATGTAAGTAATATTATTAAGTCATTTACTATTAAATTCATTGAGGAATCTGAGGATTGATGCATTTGATATGTTAACAAATTAAGTGTAGTAAAATGCATGGAGAGGAGGAGGAACTTTTTGTTCTGCTTTTGAAGCTTGTAACTGATAACACTGATATCTTGGAGGAGGGTTTTATACAGTGAATAAGAGCATTGCAAAAATTAAGCAGAGAAAATTGCATAATAATCTGTTTTAGGAAATATGGGAAATGCAGGATTTTAGGCAAAAGTATTATAAAGAAAAAGCATTGCATCTTAAAGCCATAAGAAAAATTACGTATTTTTTTAAAAAAAAGAAGCTCTGCTTTTTGTTGCTCAAAAATGGGGAAGAGAGGGAAGGAATACAGAATATTGGCTTTGGAACAAATTATATCTTCTTAGAGCTTTCTTCCCTTATCAGTTTCTTTAATCTGCTTCTCATGAATGTTTTGTAGTTAATGTCTTAAACTTTTTTTCTTTCTGGTTTCATATAATAGGTAGACTTACTATTACGTAATTATTTCAGGTTTCTTTTCAGATAATCTAATTTTGTTCCTAGTCTCTCTTGTTGCTGTCTCTAGGAAAGAAAAAATGTGGTTTTATGTCAACAGAACTCAGTTCCAATGCAGACTAATCCTATTGATGCTTGTGCTTTTTAGGCATTTTTTTTTCTTTTTTTTCCCTCTCCTCACATAACATATTTCAATATGTGTGTGGTTCAGAAGTAGTTTTATAAATATCCTGAAGTATTTTCTGTGTAGCGTTATAAACCTGTGTGAGGTGTGCTAGTGCAGCAGCACAGAATACTTGTTGTTCATGGGGCTCATGGAAAGCAATTGACAACTAAACATGGCAAAGATACTGGTGAAAGAGGCAGAGTTTTTGGATGCAAGAAGGAAGAAGCATTGCAAAAGATTTATCTGAAAAAGTGACTTTTTAGTGCTGTGTCTCTCCAGAAGTTCTCGCGAATGCTTTTTGTTGAGAGAATTGGATATGGCCCTTTACGTTTAGTATATCCCCTAACCCCTCAAGATTTGGGCACAAAAACTTTATTTGGTTTTATTTGATTTAGGTACTGTTTGCAACAGAATTTTGTGTTTGTAGCAATTATTGTTTTGTTATGCCCTTATTTACTATGTTAAAAAGCACTTAACTGGAGACAAAATAGTTGGGGACAAATAAATATCAGGTAAACTATTAAGTGATGTGTGCATGTGTAAACACAAACACGCACATGTCTTTTGAAAAGAGATCTGTTGGGCAATTTGGAGAATGTATTTTGTGCTGGTATTTTTCAGAGTTAATGCCTGTTGTCTTGGCAGACACAGACTGTTCAGTGAGCTCATTTCCATGCCCTTGTGACCATACTTTATTTTAAATAAGCATTAGCTCTGAACATTGTTACTTGGTTGGCTTTACCTATAGAGCAAATTTCTCCCCGAACTTTGATATGACTTCGAGAGTACACACTTCTGTAGGAAAGCTTATGAATAGCCATAGGTTTGGTTGTTTGCTGTGTACGTAAGTTCCATCTAGCTTGGAAGTCTCTCTCTTGACTTTTGAATTAGCATTTGTAGAAGAAAGTAAAAAATCAGTATTTGAAAGAGCAGAAGGGTATTAGATGGCTGAAAACTTTTATTATTATTATTGTAATTTGAGTAAGTATCATTTTGACAAAACCACCCTTTATGTGAGATTCAGTATCTGTGTGTTCAGTTAACAATGTCACTGTATTTGTTGGAACTCTCCTGCACCTGGCCTCCTGGGCAGAGCATGGCATGGGATTCTTGCAAAGGTCTTTGGGGAGTCTGTGGCAAATCTGTGTTATTAGTTCAGGCATACATTGCCCAATGAAGCATACTTTTTGCTGCTGGAAATTAAATATTAAATAACCAGTCTTATGATCAGACATAATGTCTCAGCTGACAGCAGTATTTTAAGTTGTTGCAGTTCTTTTCAAGTGAATGTGAAATTATGCCCCTCTCTTTATATGTGACAGATGAATTTTCTTTATATTAAGCAAAATTTTAAAGAGCAATTTTCTAAATGAAAAAAACCTGTTTTTGAAAGCTGTAGAGCATGTCTTAAGTTTAAAAATGTTATATAGGTAAGGCCTGGTCCAATGAGGTCCTTGAGATGGAGGCTTTGTTTGACAGCTTGCTGTTTCAGTTGAAAATAGCTAATCCAGAACCTCAAAATTTGCAAACAATTGTTTTCAAAGACAAGTTGGTGATATGCTCACAGATGATACGCTACTTGTAGAAGTTTGTTTAGGACTAACAGGACTTTTACTTGGTGCTGGAGAAATACAGTTATGCGAACTTTGCACTCAGTGCAGATCTGTAAGCAACGTACCTCTGCTTTAGGTGGTAATTCCTCTTGGAAAGAGGGATGGCAGTGCAAGAGAGCTCCGGTCTGGCGTTTGTGGTTTACATAGTATTAGGGTGATCTCAAGCCTATATCTTCCCATTACACTGCCATAACTTAGTATTATGGAAGCTTGTATGGCTTTTATTTCAGTCTTGCTCAGCCTCTCAGACTTTCCTAAGCAAGTCCAAAATGTGGGATTTAATATTCAGATTTCCAAAATGAAAACAAGAAAAAAAACTTGTCACATGTTTCAAAGGGGGGTATAAATAAATTTTCAAGGGACTTTCATGCCAGTGTTATGTTTCTATTTGGCTTTTGATGGACAGGGACATGAATATGTCTTTATAGAAGTGTCATTGACTTAACAAGGCCTAAATACTGGCTTAATGTTTAGAATTAGAAAGGAAACAAAGTCATAAGGACGAGTTATGCAAAATCCAAATGCTATTTAATCTGTTCTTTCACTAAAACTTGTACCAAACCCTTTATTCTTTTTATTTTTCCTTTTCCTTTTTAATTTTGAACTAAAACCTCTTACTTTAGTTAAAAAGATTTTGGGGGACGATGTTTTTTTTTTTATTTATGTCTTCAGACTTTATTATGCTGTTGCGCCGGAAAATTCTTTACAACCTGCTTCCTGGCAGAGAATTGAACTGTGTTAAGAGTATCAGTTTCGAATATTTATCCAATATTTAATTTTTTTTCTCCTTTCCTTCTAAGTGTCCTTAAATCTTTTAGGATCAATTTCAGTTTTATTTATACTATTTGAAGGTTATGGTATAGTATATGTTGTTCACACTGTTTTTAATCACTCCTACATAATCTTGATATTACTTTTTATTTTGCTCTGAAAATTTCCCTATAACTTTCCCTAGGAAAGTGATAAACTTGGAAATTGGCAACAGTGCACCCAAGCAGAAATATTTTATTTTTTATAGTGTATGAACAAATAGTTATTCAGTCAACAAAATGAAATGTAATTGCTTATGTCGGTGGTCAGAATTATATTAATTCAATTGTTACTAACATCGTGTGTGACCTAATGGTGGATAGTCCTGACTGATATGATTGTGGTTGGCTTTTAAATTTTTTTTTTTTTAATTTTTAGCAGTTTTGGTATCTTGGTGCTATCTCGTGAACTTTGAAGTTCCTATATTTTGTGAATATTTTGCATTTCAAATTGTTTGGAGGCTTTTGTTGTTGTTGTCCAACTAATGGATATAGACACGTGTGTATATAATCCTGAAGATGGAAGTCTTAGCCCTGGCAAGTGCCAAGAAAAGATTTCTTTTTTTTTTTTTTCTCTCTTTCAAGAAAATAGTCTTTCACCAAACTTGAATAAATATAGTCCTTATAAATCTAGCAAATATTCTTGCTATTTTTAATATGGCAACATGGATTTAAACAAATAATTGTTTCATATGGTTATGCATGGTAGGAGATTAGTCTGTTTGTCCTCCTTTGATAGCTGGGGCTTTTCTGGCCCTTCATCTTAATTATAATTTCTTCTCACTTGGAACCAAATCAAAACTACTCAGCAAATCAGGGTATGCCTCTGAAAGAAATGAATATATATTAATTCATATTAATGGGATTTTTAAACAGTTTGGTCTTTTGTAACTGTTAAGAATCTCTCCCTTCTCCCGTTGTTTAGGCTGTTTTTGTGCTCTGATTCTGTAGACAATTTTTGCTTTCTGTTAATCAGTCTTTTAATTCAAGTATAGTAGCATTATGCTACTTGTGGATTATGTTTATCAGTAGATATAAAAATAAGTGCAGGGAATCCTTTTAGATGAAAAAAGCGCTACAGGTAAATTTTGAAAAACAAAAACTAAAGTTTAAGAGTCTGTTACAGTCTTTTAATATTGAGCATTATTTCTCAGTTAACTAATGACCGTTGTAAAGTAATACTTGAGAAGTTTTTATGCTTACTGATTCAGTATTGTATTTATTTTTGTCACATTGGAACACTTTCATTTTTTGCTGAATTCTGGTTGTGTGGTCAACTTAGTATTTCTAAATTTTAACAGATCAATGTTGCGTATATTAAAGGAGGTTATGTAAGTTGCTCATCAGATATTCTTTAAAGTTGAAACAGATTTTGAAGTGAGGGTAAATGAACACTTCTCTGTTACATACAGTTCTTTAATGAGATAAAATTTCCAAGCTTGGAAGCCTTTTTTTTTTCCTAATAATCTGTTCAGATGTAGAATCTTAATTTTTTTTTTTTAGGCCCTATCTTTCCGATTTCTTAGATTTTCTTTTCAACCTATATACATGTTGATAATGGTTGACAAAATAGAATGTCAAAAAGGCAGATAAACTGGAAAAAAAAAGAGTCATTTTTAACTGGTTTTACTCTTAATCTTTACTCTTAATCTTTACTCCTTTGAATCAGGAGGTCAGCAAAATCGCGAAGTAGAAGCCCATATTCATCAAGGCACTCGAGGTCTCGTAGCAGACACAGATTGTCTAGGTCCAGAAGTCGTCACTCAAGTATTTCTCCGAGTACACTGACTCTGAAGAGTAGCCTGGCTGCCGAGTTGAACAAAAACAAAAAAGCAAGAGCTGCTGAGGCAGCCAAAGCCAGTGCAAAAGCTTCAAATGCTTCTACACCTACCAAGGGAAACGCTGACGCTGCTGTAAGTGCGCCTCAAGTGAACAATGTGAAGGACCTGAAGAAAATAAAAGTTGAGCAGACACCTTCTCCTACAAGCAGTGCAAATTTGAAAAACGATAAGGCGAAAGCAAAGGTTTCTCTTCCAGAAACAAAAGGGGAGAATAATTTAATTGCAGAGAAAGTTACTAAGCAGAAAGCGACGACAATAAAAGAGAGTAAACCGGCTGTTGTGAAGCAGCAGCCAACTACTGTAAAAGAGAAGAGCAAATCGAGTGCACCAACTGTAGCAACCAAGGAGAAGGATCGAAATGTTGCACTACCAACCTCCACACTGCCGCCCTTGCCTTTGCCTCCCATGCTGCCTGAAGATAAAGAGACTGATAGGTGAGTTGTGGCATTGGTTTGTTTTGAGCGGTTGTTTTTTGTTGTTTATTCTAGGAGGAAACTTTCCATAAAAACTCGACTGAACAGTTGTTTTAAAGTTGCAGATACATGATAGCTTTGGGAATACTGCACACACAGCTGGAGATCTTGAGTTTAGTGCAAATGTACATGCTTTTGAGAGAAAAGATGAATACAGTAGCCTTATCTGAAAAAAGCCTTTCTCTAATTGGCTGAGATTTCAGGCAAGAATGCCCTTTCCTTTGGATGGCAAGTGTTTTTATAGCTGTGCTTCAGAGATCGGTATTTTTTTGAATGTATATGTATAACAGAAGAGAGGTTCATGACTTGTTGCCTGTCTTCACTTTTACAGCCTAAAAATTTGTCTGCAGTGAAAAATTCGTACATGTACTCCAAGTGTCATCTCAGTTTGGACTGCGTTAAGACTCTTTTTACTCCTAATGGAGAACGTTCGCTGTTATTTGTACTGGAAATTTAGGTTTTTGGTTTCGATACTGATTTGGCTTTTGGCTTTGATACTGATCTTTAGAAAAATCCCCCTTGATATTAGTTCTATTTGTATGTCTCATGTACATGAGATCATCATCTTGCAATATGTAAAACAATTTCTCAGCACCAAAGTAGGAACTCCTAGTGTGATACAGCTGTGCAGAAAGTGAAGCTGTAAAAGAAATTCAAAACCTTATGAAATACTTAATTTTACATTTCATATCTGTGAAAATAGTTTCTTGTCTCCTGCTCTTTGAAAAGTATCTAGTACATATCAGTAAAAGTTGTTAAAACAGGTGTAAATGATTCTCTGTGTATTTACTAACAGCTTAATGCAGACAAGGTGTTAGACTTTTTTTTTAGTAGGGAAAATTGTTTCTTGCCTCCAGCAAATATCATTCCAGTTGTTCAGAATTACACCTCTGTGGTGGATGTACAGATGCATTCATTAAAAAATCATTCTCTATAGATAAATGGCATTTCTGACCCTCTTATTTGATAAAAAGATTTGCTGCCTTAACTGAAAGGTATGTGTCATTTGTGGCCTCTATACGGTGGCTGGCTTTGCAGTGCTGCTGTTGTGTGAAATGAGATTTTGTCTTCAGAATGGCTGTTTGTTCTATTTGTTAGTGGTTTTTAAATCTAAAAACTATTTTAACTACTGTTAAACCACACATGAGTTTGTGCAGAGACAGGAAAGCTTAATGATTGTGAACAGCTGCTTTGGGAAGATGAATGGCAAGAGTGTCGGTAGTGCTTTGCTTTGCTTTGCCTGTGTGATGTTCTGGACTTTGGATCAGAATGGGTATGGTTATGTTATGATAAATGTGAAGTCAAACAAGAAAAATGATCTGTTTTGGGAGGAGAAGGGAGACAGCAGTGGTGTATACCTTGGATTCACAGTTACTAGAGGGAAACTGTGCCTACAAAGAAAGCTTGATGCTCTGCAGAACTGGCTGACTCCTAACATGCTATTCATATGCAGTTCAGCAAGAATCTGATAAACCCATAAACAAACTGTCTATAGGAGCAGCAGTGTCGCAAAACCACTGCGTAGTTTAGCTGAAAGGGGGAACTGTTTTGGTGGTCAGTGGGGTGTGATTTAACAGACTTGCAAAAGGGCTTTTCTTGTCTGCTTCTGTTTTCGTGTGCTTGTTTCGAAACCTGCTTCAGAACTGCTTGTACCTTGCGCGCTCACTAGTCCGGAGAGCTGTGTGGTGGAATTGCTTGACCGAGGCAGGTATTGGAACTTCCAAATTTAGATTTTTTTCTTTAGCGTGATGAATCCTTGCTCTGTTCAAAGGTGATTGCTTTACAGCCCACCACTCATCCTCTCTGGGATGAGGACAGTAAGTGTGTCCTTGAAGTTCCTCTTCGAATTCAGGCAGTGGCAGCTTGAGAAATGCAAGTCATTCCAGTGTTACACTTTCATGATGAAATGTAGATACAGGACACTGGAAACACTGGAATGCTTTACTTAGCTGTAGATTACTAACTGTGATAAATGTAAGAAAGAATACATGTGTTCTTCATGAAGACGTATAGCAAGTTATTTCTAAGTAGATGAGAAGTTTTAGGAAAAGCTCTGTAAAAGGTTCCCAGAGGAAGAGAATGACAGTAGAAGTGTTTCGGTGAATATATGAGATTGATGGAGTCTGTGAATGACACCGGGTGGATGTTTTCATAATAACCTGCAGGTTTTGTGACCATGGTAGTTATCTTTGGAAAGCAACATTATAGTGCATTGGATTAGGATAATCTTCTTTTATGTGGGAAGTCAGCTGGAATACAGATTCCACCTCTGTGCTCCTGATACCTGGCAGGAACAGAGCCCTAGATACTCTTGATAACGTAGGCTCTGAGCTTGGAAAAAAACCTTGTGTGGCAGCAGAAATCTGGGCTGGAACCCCTAGACGCTTTGTTGCTGTGCCTGGGGGGGTTTGCTGTGTCATCTGACTTGAGCTCTCACCAGGCGCGCGAGGTCTTAATATCTGATTTCACAATTTCTGTGGAATTTCAGTAGTTATCTGTGCATCTTTTGGAGTGCTATTTGCAATTTGTAAAGTATAAATCAAAGTCCTGCAGATACTAAGAGCAGAGATTTCAATTTTCCTGCACGAACAAGCCTAGAATATACTAAAGAAAATAAAATACACACATGAAAACCTATTGGTATTACTAATAGCATTGCACTGTGTTCAGCATACTAGTAGATCTGTCTCTTTTTTTACTAGTTTACGAGAGAATATTTCAGTGAAGTCAGTTAAAGAAGCAGAGAAGAAACTTCGCCATCTGCTCGCAGACTTGCCGCTCCCGCCCGAGTTGCCCGGAGCAGCTGAGTTATCTAAAAGTCCTGAAGAGAAGAAACCAACAGTTCAGCTACACAGCAAGAGGCGACCCAAGTATGTTTACTAGCTTTTTTGAGTATATTGCCCCAGCAAAAATGAGTTATTTTCAAATGTGCTCTGTTGCAAATGTTTACAATTTTTGTTACTTAATGTTCCTGAAGTGTGAGTCAAAGCGCAGAGTTTATTGCCACTTAATACATTAAGCTTCTTACTTAATAACATCTTAGTTTTGAGTTTTCTTCAAGGTTGCAGCAGTCCTTAGGTATGTTAACAGTGCCAGAGGTTGGGAGTTTGATTATTCTTTCTAATTTATATCACTTGTATAAACTCTGGTAAAATCTCATCCCTCTGTTGTTTCTGCTTCAAGATTTTTTTGGTTGCTCTTGTTTGTTTTCAGTTCCATACAGCACAGTGATAAGCAAGTGAACAGAAGTGGCAGACAGAGAATAGTCAGTTGGAGACCAGCCTGTTGATGGTTCAACTCTACAGTTCCATCTTGCGTATCAAGTGTGAAAACCTCCTTGGCAATCCATGGTCTTGCTATTAAATCCAATGCAAACCATTTAAAATATATTTCACTTCTGCAGTGCTCACAGTTTGATTTGTAACAACAGAGTTACAATGTTTGCATGGCAGGGTGAACTGAATTGAAAGCTTTTACAAAAAGTATTTTTGTCTAACCCAAACATCAACAAATTGAATTTTGAAAGCTCTCTCATTGAAATTTTTACAACGCTTTTATGTTTGAAGAAGCAGTGACACAAAAAGGATATTTAAAAAAATTCAAAGTTTAGAGGAATAATTTGTTTTTTAAGGCAATGTTCTTAGATACATTTATTGTTTTCTAGAATATGTGGACCACGACATGGTGAAACAAAAGAAAAAGAAATAGACTGGGGAAAGCGCTGTGTGGATAAATTTGACATCATTGGGATTATTGGTGAAGGCACTTACGGGCAAGTTTACAAAGCCAGAGATAAAGACACAGGTAAGTTTGAAAGTATAAATGTAATACTGCAGCTTGAGAAATTCAACAGGTGTTTATTCTTTGTGTATTGAGTAAAATTTGTGACGTTCTGCCCATTGCACATTAATGTTTGGAAATATTTTGTTTGTTTTGTCTAAATTGCAAGTTGTCTTTTGAGCTTGGAAAATCATTTACCTGTGGAGTTGTGACGAGAAGCTTAGGTTGAATAGTCCTGATCTTTTTTTTAACCTTGATGTTCTGCACACAACTAAGTGAAGAGAGAGGAAGAAGCTGTGTGGAAACAAAATGGCACCTTAGACAGTTTGTAGAGGGATGCAGGAGTGAAAGAGGATCTTCCCTAGTCTTGGCTGTTTTTTTTCTTCTTCACACTCTGACAGTCACTACCTGATAGTTGAAAGAGAATCTTTCTCTGTACCATGAAACTCCAAAAAGTTGGATGTTGGTTGTTTTTCTTGCCATGTATCATATAACTAACTTTCCAACAGTGGGGTGTTTTTTTTCCGTTCCATGTAGTGTTAAACTGTTGCTCAAATGAGCGAGCATTTGCCACTGCTGTATGTAAGAACGTTATCACTGCATCTGAACAGAAAATACAATGAAGTGGATTTTTGTTACATGCTGTACTTGGCTTGATCATTTTATGTTCAATTGGTAGTTCTCTCTCTGGCTTATTTGTGCACACCTTGAAACTGGATGATTTTCTGCTTTAACAGTACCTGAAGCACATAGAGTCATATACCAGCTTCACTTCTCTGGTGTGCAGAAGAATGAGCACTGTGACTGTGCTTTCTTCTGAGCAATTCCCCTCTGTTTGTCTGAGCTCACAAACTTTATTTCTGACCTTAAGTACAAGTGTCACAGATTTTAGTTTTACTACTTACTTTGGAGCCACTGCTTCTTGCTCTCCTACAATTCTGTTTGTGGTGTGTTTAACTTTATAGCACATTTGTAACTTCTTTGGTAATTGTGAAAGTATTTGGGGCAGTCATTTCTTGTGGAGCGGTTGAAATTGTTGCTCTATATGTTGAAGAGCAAATGTTCCATTAGCATGGGGATTCAGATCTTGTGCTGAACCTGGTGTTGTGCCCTTCAAGCTGTGTTGTAAGAGCCTCTGCATGGGCTTGCAAAGCAGTTGGATTGAAGAGGGAAGGCAAAGCTGTTGCGTCAGCTTCAGACTGGTCTCTAAAACCACACCTTAGGAATGTGGATTTTGAGAATGGAGTTTGTTCAGATTCATGGTCTGGTTTTGGTGGGTACTTCCAACTCTAGAGGAGCAGAATTCATGTTTTTGTGTAATGGCACCTGTCTTAAGACTCTTTGGCTGTAACAGCTACTGATGAATCTCATCAAGGCATTAACACGTCAGCTGTGCTGGCAGTAGTTGCTTCGCACACAGGTGGCCTGCTCGGAATGAAGGACACGTCAGAGGCTGCTTTTATGTCCTTTATGGTCACTGATGTTGCAGTGGAAGCAGGTTCTTCACTGTCTGCACCATTGCCGCCTTTGGAGTGGTTGTTAAGAGGGCCTCAAACTGGACAATGATCCTGGTATATATTCAGAAGATTTATTTATATCCTGTGTTATTCCAGTTTTCCTTGTAGCTTGCTGCATCATCTTTGAGGTATGATCTGGGAGGCGTTATTTTCTAGGGTTAAGAACTGGTCTCTCTGCATCAGTAACATACTCATCTGAAGGAGACTGCAACGTTAGGATTTCCTTCGTTCCTTCCTCCTTACTGCAATCTTTGCTTTTTGTCATGTCTGCTTTATGGGTAACTTACTCTGCTTTGTCTGACAGATCACCATAAAAGCTATTAAAAGTTACTGGAGCTTACAAAAAACATCTTGGTATCCTGAGTTCCACTAAGTAGCGCCTATTTCTGACCAACACTGGCAGAAGGGAAGGATTTGACTCTCCGTGTTTATTGCCTTTGAACTCTCTCCATAATGCTTCCCTTGCAACAGCCCTGTGAACTCGAATTACTTCTACATGTCAGTGTAGTTATATTGCTTTATCCTAGGGATGTCACAAATTATTAGCCTTGCTGACGCCTGTTCCGTTGCTTCAGTGTTAGTTTCCAGATGAATCTGTGTGGCATACTGTGGTGCAATGTTATATATGTACCATACACACTGCTGTAAGATATACCTGTGTTTTCACTAAACTTTTCACTGAAGGAAGTTGGTAAGTTGGTTTAAGATACCCTTGGAGGGTATCTTAAGTTGGAGGTTTTAGATAACCTCTATCATGAGGAGACGGTGCTGCTGCCGTTTTGCAGACTCTAGCTTTATCCAGCCCAGCCTGCAATAAAAAAATGAAGAAAACTTTTCCTCACAGGGTATGTGGAAGATGAGGCGTGTTCTTTTTATAACAGAAGACTGAGCCTCCTGGAAGGCTTTTTGCTTAATTGGGGAATTGGCTAAACAAATGAGATTCTCCTAGAGGCTGCCTCCTTGAGTCAGTTATGCCTCAGCAAAGGTGGCTGTGACTTTGGGCTGCTGTCAGTGACCTCCTTGTAGCACATATCCATTGCCATAAGCAGCCATGGAGCTTTGCCTTTGCTTGCTGATCAAGCCCTTCAGAGCAGTCCTCAGTTGTTACTCAGCCAGGAACTCGGTTTCTTTTCATTCAGGTGTTCTGTGAGCAACATTTTTTTGGAGTTGCTTGTAGTGTTAATGTGCTCATCGCCACTTGAAAGAAAGGTTACCTGCCTGCAACTGTTCTTTAATCTGTTTTGTCTGTACAAATGTACATTAGCAAACCTTATTCTTCCAAGTCTGTGCAGCACTTTGGGGAGTTCTGAGGCAAGGATGTCCTTTTGTCTTGTAAGAGCTGTGTGGGAGACATGCAGACCAGGAGAGGAGTTTCCTGCAAGTGCTTCATTTAAATGAAGCTTTCATTAAAATGTTAACATTTGCATTCATGTTACTTTCAGTGCTTGTGGGGGAAACCTTGGCCTTAATTATATTTGTTAGATAGGCTGCACCTGAGAAGAACAGTTAATAGGCAGTAACCTTTCTGTTCTTCACAAAACACACCTTCCTCATGGAAGGGCAGGAAGGTGAGGAGAATCTTTCTCTGCATTCTGACCTGTGACGGGTAAGAGTAAGAAATCTATAGCAGACATAGGCATCTGACTCTAAAGCTACTGTTGAGAATCAATTGTACATGTGGATTTATTGATAGACTGAATGTGGCAGATCAGATCACAGGTAAGCGAGGCTTAATAGATGTCAGCTGACAACTGTCATATCTGGTGTCATTTTCTCTATGTGACTTTCCCCAAACTGGCCTAGTTAAATTTCCCTTCAGCATAGCATTGATGCAAGCACCAAAATGTCAAAATTTGACATTTTTTGTCAGTATTGCTGCTGTTCAGAAATAGAAGAAGAGTGAAGGAGATTTAAAAAAAAAAAATCTGAATCCCATGGCTTGTTTGCTATTCTTAATGTTTTATATTGAAATCTTTTCATAGGAGAAATGGTGGCACTAAAGAAAGTACGTCTGGATAATGAAAAGGAAGGGTTTCCAATTACTGCTATTCGGGAGATTAAGATTCTTCGACAGCTTAATCATCAAAGCATTATCAACATGAAGGAAATAGTGACAGATAAGGAAGATGCTTTGGACTTCAAGAAGGACAAAGGTACGTACACTATCGTGAGGATTAGTTCTTTGTGGCAGTCTGCTGTGCAGGGCCTGAGAAAGGTTTCCTTAAAAGTGTTTGTAAATTATGACCCTTAGCTAGGGGATGTAATGAGATTTGGTTACTGTTAGAAGTTCTTTACTTAATTCGATGCTGCCTTCTGCTCATACAAACTTTTTTTGTGGATATTCTGTGGAGTAAGAGGTTTCTTTCTGCTGCTCGATTACAATCTTTTTTGAGAAGAACAGATGTTTGACTAATTGTCACATATAGTTTGGGGAGGGCAGCAACAATGGGAAGATCTTACACTGGAAGTTTTTAGTCCTTTACTTCCCTTGTAATCTTTTATCATAACATTTGAAGAGATATTTTTTATTCCAGGCTTCATTTTGATTTGAAAGGTGTTGCAGTTTTTCAGAACTGGAGTGTGTGTGCCTTGAAGGCTAGAAGGATGAATGAAAGCAAGATTTGTGCTCTTTTTGTTCATTCAGTGTTAAGCCTGGCTTCCTTGAGTTACAGCAGCTAGAGAATCAAGCACACAGTGTGGAAGTTACGCAGTGTGGCTGCTTGCTACTTTTGATATTGGAGTGGTCACTTTGTTGTTGGGGCTATTTCCTTTTAATTACAAGTCTTATAAACCTATAATTTCATGGCATTTTAGTGTCCTGTGGACAATCCGATGTGTGATTGGGCTGAGGAGCGTGTTGAGAATATGCTAGCCCTGTTGCTTGCCTGTTCTCCCTTCCTGAATTACTGTAGGGAATGCTTGGGTAGAAAACTCTGTCCGTGCTGCTGAGTCAGCAGAAACATCAGCTGACACTGTGAGTCAAAAGATGGCAGTCAAAGCTAGGCAGGAATGGGGTGCCTTTTCTAGCATATTTTAGAAGATAAAATCCTGAAGGATTTACAGCCTTGATGTGCTTTTGAAGGAGGAGGGGAGACGGGGAGCTTTATTGGTGGGTTAGAGTAGGAAATATTGATCAAAATAATCTTCCTAGGTATGTGCAGGTTCATTGGTGAGCAGCCTCTTTTCACTGAGTTTTCATTAGGTCTAAGCTGCCAGGCTAATGAGATCCCATTGAGCCTTGCCTTCATACTTAATGTCTTACTAATAGACTATCTCCCTTTCTGTTTGCTGCCATATCGAGAATTGAATTGAAAGGGTTTTTGGGGTGCATTATAAACTGTATGTGTCATTACTTTCAAATATAATGCGCTTTCTGTCCAATTCTGTATTTTTACTTTTGATATTACTTTCAATTTATTTTCACGTTCATATTTAACAGCTTATTGAATACGTCTCTAGTAAGCCTGCAAAGGAGGGGACTTCACCAAAGATACTAGAGTAAAATTTGTTTCTGGTAGTCTCGAAACTGGTAGCAAGAAAACAGGACTGCGCTATTATGATTTGACTGCAAAAAGATAGTTTGCGTTTGTTTGCTTTTTCTTTCAGGAAGCTGCATTCTGTATTTCTCCAACCAAAGTAGCTCGTTATAAGGTGGGCCTTTTTAGATAAGAAGTTGTAGGCAATTTCTAGTCTACACAAGGAAGAATGCAAGTGGGAAATGCAGTCATTTTCATGGTGAACTACTGCAAGCTCAGTAGGAAGATGCTTGGGTTAAGAAGGGACAATCTACAAAGGTGACAGTGGTATATCTTATTCAAGCACCATTTCCAGTGAAAGCGTAGTGCTTTGCTCTCTCGTGAAGGTTTTTGCTTGATGTATGCTATTTGCTTAATTTTACTGTGGGATATAGCTCTTACAAAACACTGTTGAAATCCCTTACATAGAAGTCAGGTATATGTGTTCCCATATATGTACCTCTAGCTAAGAGAAGTTGACTTTGTATCTAAGGTTGCCTCTCATATCCGCTTCCATGCTGCTCATTCGCTCTAAAATTTTTTTAATGGTATCTTAATAAAGTACAGCAAATGTAATATTCTGATAGTTAAGTAAATACTGGGGATGTTCTGTGTTTAAAACCTCTTTCGAAGATGCTTTATAAGATGGTAACATGCAAACCAAAAGTGGCTTGCTTTTGTACCACTTTATTCCCATATGTTGAGCTCTATTATGCCCATATGTTGAGCTCTATTAAATGTTTTTTAATTACATAGTCTTATTATCTTCCTCAATTTTGAGCATCTGACTTATCTCAAAAATTTAAACAACACTGCAAAGCAAGTGGAAGAAAAACATATCTGTGTTTTGCCCTGACCATTATGGGATGTAAGCTCAAAAATACCAATGACAGCAATGGAAAGGGTAAGATTCATTTTTCTTAGGCCAATTATTAGAAGAACTTGCTCCACACACTGCTGCAGTTAGTTGCAAACAGAGAAGTTTATGGTGCCGTCTTGCAGGCAGTACAACTGCGTGTGTAGATTTGGGGCGCGCACAGCTAAGGACGTGCACGGGGTGCCCGTGCTGAGCGCTTGCACTCTTTACCTTCACAATCCCCCCTTTCCAAGGGAGATAGATAATACATGAGCTTTGAGGTGGGAATGAGCGACTCATAGTTTGTATTCCATTTTGTGTATGTATCTGCCTAGCAGTTGTTGAGGAGGGGGAAAGAAACTATTGAATGTAATGTAAAATCTTGCTCTGCTTTGCTCTGATTATGTTTATCTAAAATGCTTTATCCCAGTGAGGTGACACAGGGACGATTGTCGATGTGTGTGTTTGGCTGTAGCAGGCACAAGGGTTAGTGCTTGTGGGCAGGTCTGCTGTTAGCAGTCTTTCCTTTGCGTCTCATTTTTGTTTCCTTGGTAGTAGTGCTAATGAATTGGTGCTCACGTTCCTGAGCCTGAGGAGCTGGGTTATAGTGGACTGCGCTTTGTGGAAGCCATCTTCGCTTCATAGTGTTTTTGTCTGAGAATTTTGTGTGAGATTGCCAGTGCAGTGGCAATTAAAGCAGAAATTAATTTAAAACAAAGGGCAATTTGGTAGATGTATTCCAATTTGCGTACCTTGTAGGCAAAGTTAATAAAGCCATTTTATCAGTGGCAGAAAAAAACATCGGAAAAAAGGCCTTGTTTCGATATGCTTTCATGAGCTGTTTGTTCTCTCAGTTATGTCGTGGGTTTTTTCATTGTGAAAATCCATTTCTCTCTCTCTCTCGTTATTTATTTTTTATTTATTTTATTTTTTTAAACCACTTTATTTCTTGTTGCTTGAGTACTTGAGATGCTCCTTTGGTTCTCCTGTGGTTCTCACTTGCCTCTTTAATAACTATTTGCCACTGGCAAGTGCTTAACAAACTAGCTGAGGAACTGCCATTTTTTTATATATATATAAAAAACTCGACACAGAGGTTTGGCCTGATTTTTTTTCCTTAGCGTATTACTGCTACAAAAACTAGTACCTGGCATATCTTTCACTGCTCTGAACCTAAGGCCAAGAGGTGTCCTGATTGACTTGTCTTACTCCTTTCAGCTGCAAGAGGCATTTTCAGCCCAAGGGAGAATGTAAAGTTCTGCCTGGGAGACTTTAGTAAGAAAGATCTGGCTAATACCACTATTAAAATGGATGTGCATGTGTGTGTGCATTTCGTTTGAATTGTGGAGTTTTTTTTAGGTGTTTGAAGTTCATTTTAAGATCTGTATTTACTTTAGCTTTGAATTCAGCTTTGAATTGATCTGCAGAGTAAAAAAATCAAGAAAACCCTTTAGACATGAAGTCAATCTCTATACTGCCAGTAGAGCAATACACTTGTCAAGAGAGCTGTGGCGCAAAGTTGTATAACTATCTAGTTACTGTCTCACAGCCATCAAGGAGTTCTTAGTGTGTCTGAAAATCTGTGGTTTGGAAGAAGTCCATGGCAGCAATCATGCTGTAGTCAGGGCGTGCTTCATTCTGAGGCTCCTTCTTCATTCCTACTGCAGCTGGCTTTATCCAGGTTTCCTGGGAAGTCTACTAGGAAGTGCAAAACTAAGTGAATCTGCGCTGCTTGGAGTCTTTCTGGGAGGAAGGAAATCAAAATTTTATTTCCTGTGCCACATGGAGTTGGACTGAATGACAGATGCAGCTGAAGTATGGACCTGGGCAGATGATCAAATGCTTTTCATTTTGTTGTCTTGCTTGTGATTTCTTTGAAGTTAGGTGAGTGCTGACCCACCTGTGGCAACTCTCTTGGTAGTGTAACGCATGAGGAGAGAGAGCTCTGGAGGAAAGGATGATCCGTCTTGTAGACACTGTCCTTGGGCAAGAGAGCAAGGGCTGCTGCTTCTCTAGCTGATGGTTTATGTTCAACTTGAGGCTCCCCGTTCTGATATGGTGATTTTCTTGTAAGATGGAGAGCATCTTGCGGTGAATGCAGAGTTTTTGCGTCTTCCTTATTGCTAAATTAAAGGATTTACTACTGTATTTCAGTAGGTTTGCTGGCGTAGTAGTCTGTAGATGTGCAAGGTCCCTGGTTTCTGTGCTGCTTTCTCTTGCAGCTCAAGCAACTTGTGATCCTTTTGCCTGCAAAATTACCTGTTAGCACTAGGTCTCTGTTACAACTAGCACATACAAAACCAGACTGTTCTGAATTTCATAAAACTCAAATATATGCCTTGTCTTGCTGTTCTCAAAACAACTGGTAGCTGCCTCTTCCTAAATAGTCTTCTCAGTATAGTTATCTGGAATAGTGTGACTGCTTGTGTGGTACTTTGGAGAGCTTTGGCTTGAAATGAGTACAGGCCTAGTTGTGTGGCTGCTCATCTTGATCCATGTCAGGGCAATATGACGGGAAAGTCATGTTTATTAAACAAAAAAATCCTGATTTCCTTTTCTGGCTTTCCTTTCCTCTGCTTTGTCTTGTCTATTTTTTTTTCCTCTTCTCAGTAAAATTTTATGGCACAAGTACAGTGTTCACTTTGAGAGTTTCTGGATGCCCTCAGGCTGGTGCACCTTTTTCGGAACATGAGTATCCATGTGCTTGCAGTTGGAGTTGCATTTGTTTCAAGGGAAAATGCAAGTAAAGTTGCAGTGAGGCACTGTCATTAAGCTCTTAATGCTGAGTGAAAATGTAAAGGAAAACTTCTTTTATTAGGAACTAAGTTTGGCTGTTTTTTTTTTTTCCATCTTAGGACAACTAAAATCAAAAATGATTCTGGCACTCTTGCTTTCCTTTTTGTTAAGGTGATAAATTCAGAGGCTGAGTCTGGTCTTTGTCTTTCTCAAGTTAGAAAATAGGTTTGTAAGAATTGAATGGAAAGAAAATAGCTGGTTTCCCAAAAGCGCAGGAACCTCAGGGAATTGCTGGGCAGTCTCTTTCTTTTAAAATTTAGAGCTTTAAGTTTGTTAAAATTCTGTTTAAAAACTGCCGTGAAAGACAGTATGCGGTGAGTCCTGGAAAAGAAAAGTTGAGGATGTGGAAGAGTAAATGTAATGCAATTATTTCTAATGAGTCAAATAGAAGTAAGTATCTACGAATTGCGTAGAAGAAACCGAGGAGGCTTGTTAGCAAAATGAGGATCCGGAGCATTCCTTAAGAGTTTCCTGGAATGGGGAAGCAGAAACCAGGAAGAAGCCAGGACAGGAAAAGGGCTAAAAGACACTGAGAACATGGGGTCACATCCCAGTAGCCTGCAGGAAAATTTGTACTGCTTGGAGCCAGGAGTGAAATTCCAGTAGACATAAAAGATGTGTGAAACCCACTGCCATAGTGTCGTCTGCTTTGGTGCTTGTTGTGTGGTAGAGAGGAGTCTTCCCGTGCTGTGGTTCCAGATGTTCCAGCACAGTTTTTAGCTGAAAGTTGTTTGTTTGTTTGTTTGTATTAGTAAAAAAAGCACAGTAGCTGTGAGTATAAAATGCTTTATTTTTGGAGACTGCAGAATGCAGTGGCTGATCTTTCACCTGTCCTTTTAATTTTATTTATTTATTTATTTATTTTTAATGCTAGGGAAGCCACTTTAGCCAAATGCTATTGCAATGTTTGTTAATAAAGATCGCTGGTTTTGAGGATGTCCGACCCAAAGCAGCATTTCAATTTGCCAAGGTTCTGAGTCCCTGGCTGCAAGTGGTGTTTGTAAGGCTTGCATTAAAGCATGAAGCTTAAAACAGTGAAATAATCTGTAAAAAAAAAAAAAAAAAAAAAAAAAAAAGATTGCTTGAAACGTTGTATATTACGGTGGCAAACTTTTAAAAAAGGGGAAAATGACGCTTGTATCACCCAAACAGGATTTTAAAAAGTAGCAGTACTTAAGGGGCTGCATTCTTAACGAAGAGGATAGAGCAAAATTCCTGAGCAGCCATTCAACAGAGCTGTAAATACCGTGCATTGAGTGAGACCAAGAGCCGTGTGTGGTTTTTTTTTTATTATTATTTTATTTGTTTTAAAGCTCCTTTGCATTTCAAGATACTGTAATGCAAAGATCAAATTTAAAGTTTGAAGATAGCATGGCCTCTCTGGTCAGGCAGTTGCTCTGATCTGTGTTAAAATGGATATTTTGAGAAGCCAAAAACATTTTCTTTATGAAGTTACATTTGAGAAGCATTAACTTAAACTGTCATCTGTTTAAGCACTTGGATCCTCTCCTACCCTCTAACCCCAAGCACTTTCACCTTGCTTTGAAAGCAAGCTTGTAACTTGGTGTCCTGCTTCACTGGGCAGTTTTGGGTTCTTTAGTGACAGTGCCAAGAAAACGGAACCTGTCTGCATCACAAAAATCCCATGTGTGTTTTGTTTTTTCCAGCCCCTTGGGAGATCATTTGTATGTTGCAGGTTTTCTGCACCATGTTTTGTGGCCTTACCCATTTTGCACACGTAGTTTTCAGCATTGCTCCTGCCTTGCCTGGTGTTCCAGGCACCTCCCTAGCGTTAGAGAGCCCGACTGCAGGTGTGGGAGCTGGAAAAGGGCACATGCTTATTCTTTAGTTATTCTAAACCAGCATCTCACTACTTTAACCCTTGTGGACTGCCATAATGGTCCAAAAGATGATTACTTTTCTAAATGAAAACAAAAGGGGTGAGGTTAGGATTATTTCCAGCCAAGTGAGTCTTCCTGATTTATCGTGTACCTCCCTGATAGATTCAGCTGCTATCTCCTATCCCATATGCCAAACTGGGCAATATTGCTGCTATTCAGCTGCTCCAGCTGCTGTTCCATCAGCGTGCAGTGACAGTGAGAAATCTTATTACCTCAGTAGGTGGAGAAGGAGAAGAGCTATGTGGTAGTAGCAAAGAAAATTGGGCAGAGACATAACCCACTATCGATGACCTCTTGCAGCATATGAAAATGGACTCTAGGTACTTATTAATTGAGTAGTGCAGATCTTTAACATAACAGCAGTAAGATAAGTAAGATAAAAGTCATAGAAGTGTTTGTGACTTGATTTGTATTGCACGCTGAGTACGGTAATGTTGCTTTCAGTGTCTTTATTGATGATTCCTTCAGAAAACATTATCTCCAAGCTGGTGAGCATCTTGGCCTCATAAAGGAAAGAATGATTCTTTTTGTCTGTTATCTTTTTTCCTTTACAAGAAGTAAATATTTGTGTGGCATTTGTTTAGATTAAACTGAAGGGTGACGAGTTCAAGGTAAACTTGAACTAGCTTCCGCCTGTGCATGGTTGGTGAACCTTCCTGAGTGTTTGTAATTGCCTTCCATATTAGGAAGGATCAAATTCCCTGATCTAATGAAAGCTAATGGTGATTTGAACCTGCAAATATCCATCATAAGGTGGCTTCATTCATTCATCCCAAAATAAACTTACAGGCTTCGCTTCAGTTTGCGTGATAACTTTTTTGCAATTGTGTTGACTTCCAAATCCATCTTAAGTAATGCTAAACATAAAAAGCATAATGGTGAGGTTGTCAAGGCTAGTAGGCTAGTTCTAATACTTCCTCGTTGCCCAGGAAGAAGACTCAGCTTTGGCAATTTTTTAAAGCCTTCACCTTTAACAATGTATAAATATGTAGGTAGTAGTGCACAGATATAATGAAACCATTTGTTTACCTGTGCTCTGATATGGAAGGAGCATTTGGCGTTTAGACCTGCTGCTCTAGTGTATGTTTTGTAACGAGCAGCAGAGAATATAAACAATGGGATGTCGTCACCTGGGTATTACTCTGCTCTGCTTCTGAATCATCTCTGTTGGTGTCGGCTTCCCATCTTCTGTGAGGGCAGCACTTGTGGTAGCTGGTTATGAACAGCGGTGAAGACTCCCCCGAGCAGGAAATTGCTCAAGGCTGGGGGCTGCTCTGCACGTAGAGGAGAAGTCTGGGTTCAGCTGTTGAAACTAGAAGTCCAAAATTCCATGGGCCCTTCCCCATGTACCTTGAGAACTGGTGCTGTGTGTATTTTGTTTCTAGATTTCCCCACAAACTTTATATAGGGAGTACTAACCCAGTCAAATTTTCTTTAAATCGAATGATGCTGTGATGGAGAGCCACATGGTGAGTACGTGTCAACCTACATGAAAGCACTCGCTGGGGGAATTTTGCTTTCTCAAATACTTGTCAACTAAAATGTTTACATGAAAAAACAATATTAGGAAAATATTTCATAGCACTGCATTTTGTTGTGGTTGTTATTGGAAAGGCGATGTAGCTATAAATACTGCAAAAAATGTAACACGTGAAAAATACTTCCTACTCTCAAAAGTAGAGAGCTGCAGCATTTTGGACTGCATTTAACCAGTCTTTTTCTCTTCTTCTCTTTCTTTCTCTTTTACTGCTTCTTTTCTTAGGTGCATTTTATCTGGTGTTTGAATATATGGACCATGACTTGATGGGACTGCTGGAATCTGGTTTGGTTCATTTTAATGAAAATCATATAAAATCATTTATGAGACAGCTGATGGAAGGCTTGGCCTATTGCCATAAGAAGAACTTTTTGCACAGAGATATCAAATGTTCAAATATTCTACTAAATAATAGGTATGAATATTACTTCAAGAATGTAAAAAATTGTGTGTTAAGAACATTTTAAATCTTTCATTTAATTGTCAGAGTTCACCTGCTGCTTTAGGTCACTGGCAGCCCCCCCTTTTTTTCCCTTGTTTCTTTAACTGCTTGTAAAATATTAATCTGATTTTACAGTTTAACACTGCATCCTGCAATTATTTGTTAAACTTCATCTGTGTTGGAGTAGCAGGATTAAAACTTAAATCCATTAGCTTACACTGAAAAATATCTGAGTACAAACATATTAAAACAGAATTTTAGGAAATAAGTGTTTCATGTGTGTTCTTTTTGCTGTCCCATTTCAAAATGATGTGTTGCTAGGCTGGTTCATTGCAGTGTAATTCTGAGACCACCATCAATCTGCATAATGTTTCAAAAGAATCTTTGATCAGACATGTTCAAGCTAAATTCTGTTCTTTTGGCTTGAAATTATAGCCAACTATCAAATGAGGCTGAGTATTTCTTACTTGTGTAACCAGTTGTGCTTACAAACCAAATTGGTGAACACACTTTTGTTAGAAAAAATAATAATAAACCCAAACTGCTGTTCACTATCAGGAAGAGTACTGAGAAAAAAGACAACATTTTGCTGCCTTGTAAGGTTTAGTGTCTATATCTTGAATTCTGTGTGCAGTTCTGTTCCCTGTATTTCAAAGTAGCCCAAGTAGACCTAGAGCAGCACAGAGACGGACAGCTAAGGGGGTGGAAGATGACAGAAGGAAAAAGCGAGGAGACCTGGTTTTGGAAAGGAGAGTGTGACTGGGGCTTGCAAAATTGTGAAGATTGTAGATGGCTCTCATGCAGAATTGTTGCTCACTGAATCCAGCACTTCTAAAATCAGGATGCAGTTGTGGAGACTAGTAAGAGTTAGGTTTAAAACAGACAGGAGTACCCTGACAAGAACAGGTAGCTTCCAGGATCTGTTAGCAGAGAAGTCTGTCAAGACAGTGTCAGGATACGCAAAAAGGAATGAGACTGGTTTATGAGCAACACCGTTAAGAGATGCTAAAGGGAATAGCTAGGGATATGTGCTCTAGCACCCCTAATACAAAGATTATGGGTGGTGATTAGACACAAGGAAAATGAGCCTTAAAGTGGGCCAGTTCGTGTGTTCTCCCGGATCATCTGCACCTGCTGCTGCTGGATACAGAATCCTAGGCAGTGTGGATCAGTGGCCTCACTTGGGAGGAGGACCCAGTTTTGCCTCAGGTTGTGCCCAAGTTCAATTTCTCCTTTCTTCCTCCTGCTTTTTTACAATGCTCTAATCTTAGACCATCCTCAGTTCTGGATCCCACGTAGTCTTCCCAGGTGCTGAGACACCAGTCCTGGCACAGGTGTAGACGGCTCTGCAGTGCTCGCCTTGCCCTTGCTCTGCCTGTTTATTTTTTGGCTTATATCTGGTGTTGATGCAGATGCTGTGCACTCCTCATCAGGAGATGAGATATAACCTGATGGTGGAGCAGAGCTCACTACAGCAGAGGCAATGCTTTCTCTTGGACCGTGCTCTCCCCGCTGCAGAACATCCAGTGCTTTCTCCTGGACATTTTCTGAGCATCCTTAGAAGTTTCCGCTAGAGGATGAAAAAGTTGGTCAAAATAATTTTAAACCAATACTTCTTGAATTCTGAACCAGTACTACTTAAATCTCCTTCCCAGTTACAGCCTGAAGCCAAACACATGCATTTTCTGTTGTTTAGCTAAGCAACTTAAACATCTTTGGTCGGAAGTCATTGGTAATGCAGACATACGATACCTGAGCGACAGGCATGTGAACTTGTGGGGTACATTGCTTCTGGGAAATCTCTATAAGTGTAAGAGCAATTCCAAACACACATCTGCAATGTGTGCAGTGGAAGATGCAGTGGAAACTTGGTGTTTTGTATCACAAAATAGTACTTCCCATCCTAATTTGATGAACTAACCCGAACATGCACTATTTGAAAGTGACAGTTTTAAAGCTCATTCATTTCATGTGTTAGAAGTGTGCAGATTACTTTGTCTAAAATATCTAGACTTTACGGATGATGGAGGCATCCTGTTTTTTTAGTGTAACGTGGTTTGTGCAGTACTCTTGAGCCAGGTAAAAAGCCAGGCAAAAGCTCTGTGTGTTTCTTCCCTTCTTCCCCTCCTCACTTATGGGAAAGCTAAAGAGGGGCTTGGGGAGAGTATCATTCAGCAGGTAGGCAACAGTGGCAAAAATAAAAGCCCTTACCAGGGCCAGTCACGCTCTTTAGAGGCCAAACTAGCACTTTTTCAAGAGCAAAATGAGACATTTACAACTTCTTACAAGGAAGCATGACTGCTGATTGACATTTGCTGTACAAGTGGTTTTTGCAGGCATTACTTTTATTCCTAAGCATGAGAAAATAGGAGGTTTCCCCCGCATGTTTTACTGCAGTGTGGCTCGTTTGAATGCTCTAGAGTATAAACCCAGAATTTGAGTATCCTGTGATAAAGATTTCCATTTTTGTTTTGCTTACCTTTCTTTGATATCAAGTCATTTAGCATGCTTGCTAACTGAAGACGTGCAGAGATTGTAAGATATTTCCTCCTCATTGATGTGAATTATGAGTGTTCAGTTGCAGCTGTCTGAAAATCTGAAACTTAAACCTCATTTCGGGCAGGACACCTACCAGGATTAACCACTGAGTAATTTTTTGCTTTTTCCACCAGAGGGCAGATAAAGCTTGCAGATTTTGGGCTTGCTCGGCTGTACAACTCAGAAGAAAGGTAAGATGATACCATAACGTGAAAATACATTTAGGAACTTGGTTTCTTATGTAATTCTCGGTATTATGAGGGCCAGATAATATGCCTTTTTTTTTTCTTAGAGATGTTATCATACTGCAACATAAATGATTGCTTAAGAGAATGGAAAAAAATGAAAAAACTGTGCATGTCCTGTAACACATAAAGAAATATAGATATCTCTTTTTGTAAATATATTGCCTTTCCAAGTGTTCTAGATAAATAATTTTAGAGAAGAGGCATGGATAGATTGGAAATGAAGGGTTGCAGTTCTGGGTAGGCTGGTTGCATCAGGGTACAGTTTTGTACTTAATATTAGTTTCTGGTTCTGTAACCCTAAAGTATATTATCTTTATTGTTATACCCCGAAAAGATGTATTTAGGAAGAGGAAAGTGGATTTTTTATGCCTCTGGGATTAATACTGACAAGAATCAGTAAACAGCCTCCTTTTAAAAAGGCATTGATTTGTGAAAGTTTTAACCTTAAATTTGAAGAGATTCATCTTATTGTTTAGACAGTCAGTCATGTTGAAATTGCTGGAACCAGATGAGTTTAAATAAAAACAAAATCTGAAACTTCCTGTGACTTGTGCTTCTCTTGTTATTGGTTTCAGTGTATTTGAACTTAAGAAACAGGTGCACAGTTGATATGACTGAGAACTCTTTAAATGCTTACTGTAATGTCTTATACTTCTCACTTGTGTAAGTGGTAATATATAGAACTGCATTTTCTAAATTCAGTGTGTATTTTTTTGTGGCACTACATATACCAAGCGGTTGCATACAGAGAATATTAGCAACTTGACCTTGATTTCTGTGGCCCTGATTTGGGAAACACTACCTCTGACATTGGTTTTACGAGTCTGTTGTCCTCTCGTAGAGCTTTGAGCTTATTGCTGCTGGTGGTGGCTCCAGGTTCACCATCTCCTGTGCTGTTATTTCAGGTACAGGAGCCTAAGTACAGTTATGGAAGCTGTTGAGCGTAGTAGCAGGATAAGAGCATCTTAGTAGCTGGGGGGCAATGCAGTTCCTCTGTGGAGGTATTTGTAGTAAAATGCCACCCTGTCTCACCATTTTAATAGACACCAAACTGCTTTTTTTTCTTTTTTTTTTTCCTTGGATTTACTGGGGCTGTTCTTATTCATTTATTTCAATGTTGATGGTAAAAGTAAGCGTACATTAAAAGTTGCAGGATTTAAGATTCAGTGTCTTTAGAGTGTGAATGACAGATTCTCCTATATATAAAAATAGCTACATTATTACACCCCATTTATACATTATTGAAGCAAAAATTAAAATGTACTTTAATACAATTTCCTGTTATCTCGGGGAGTCTCATCGGTAGATTTTGACAATTCTTTTGCTTCTGACCTACAGGAACAGCTACATTTTAGCACACGCCAACAACTGTGTAATAGCTGCTGTTTATATATTTTACATTTGTTTCACTGTTGTTTAGAACTATATGTTGTTCAAAAGGATACAGAATTTAGTCCAAGCATAATAAAGTTTTAGTTAAAAGTAAGTTCCAGTTGGTTATAGTCGTGCTCCTTTAAATATTATTCCTTGGATTAAATGTGTTTGGAATAAGGGGTATGACAGATTGTATAAGAAAGGATCTGTTCACACAAAATGCACTGCAAATTAGTACATATACAATTGGTGTACCTGTAGAGAAAGTCCATACCATGCAAACAGTTTGTGGAGGAATGCATGGTTCAGAGAGCAATATGATAAATGATGGGATTGTTTCCAAAAGTATACTGCATTTTCAAAAGTGAATCGAGGAGTTTCTTCTTGAAAAAAAGACTTGGGTGCTTTTCTGGAAATGATAACGCTGAGCACATGGCGGGACCTTATTAGGCTTTTATGCTAGGATTATTCAAATGCCACTTTTCATGTTCCCTTGCTTTCTATTTGGGCCTACTTTGTACTGATAAGAGTGAATTATTAAAACAGAAAGAGTTTTTGGATCACTTCTAAGACATCCTGTTTGGAAAGAAGAGATAAACTAGTGTCTGTTTTATGGCTTCCACTCTGAACAGTTGATGGTGTTTCTCAGCCTCTCCATGAGAGCTTTGCCTAAGATAGGGGAATCTTTGCTGCAGTGCCAGAGTTGAAAGATTATTCCCAACTACCAGGGCTTACAGTTAGAGATTTAAAGATGTTGAAATATAGAAAGATATTGGAAGTGTTCAGTCTTGGAAATCAAAATTGTTGCATGTTATGCAAGAGACAGGCTCAGTCTCTTTTGTCCCCGTTGGCAGAGGCAAGTGATTTTTGTTTTTCCTCCTTTTTATATACTGTAGAGGTCCTGTGTTCGTTATTCTAATAGTCCGTAGCTGCCCAGAAGTTACTGGTTTTATCCAGTTGGGTCCTTCTGTTGAACTGATTGGCAGTGTAACAAATAAATAGTATTGCCTTTTAAATAATAATCAACATACAGGACTGACTGAGTGTTAAGAGGCTCTGTGTTTATACCTTCGGGGTCTGTTTCACGCTGCCTTTTGAACCATCCTGTGCAGACGTGTTTTGTTTTTGTACAACTGCAGCACACGATTTAGGAAAAGAGGAATGGAAGATTGTAATGTTCTTAAGCAGCGACACAGAAGTAAAGTCCTCAAAATAGTTTCAACAGTGAGATCATAGTAAAATGATAGTCCTCTTCTTTGTTTTTCCTCCTCCCAACAGCCGACCATATACCAACAAAGTTATTACATTATGGTATCGGCCTCCTGAACTTCTGCTTGGAGAAGAAAGATACACACCAGCTATTGATGTCTGGAGCTGTGGGTAAGAATTTGATACAGAAGTGTAGTGAGCATAATAACAAGCCAGAGAAAATTACAGATGTTTTGGTCAACCTGTGTTGAAGCCAAAATGATGGAATTGTGCAAACTGTTTTACAGCTGCATCCTGGGTGAACTTTTTACAAAAAAGCCAATATTTCAAGCAAATCAAGAACTTGCTCAACTGGAACTTATAAGGTAACTTGCAGGCACTACCAACTGGTAGGTGCCTCAAACAGTCTTTTGTTTTTCCCCCATTGTAAGTTTTTTAATAGGAGAGAACACACTGGTAACATTTAGGAACACTCAGTTAAATATTTATTACCCAAAGTGAGGATGAGAGTGGTTTTTCAGGGACATGTTAAAGTAATGACTTTTAATCAGACATGGAGAGGATTTTTTGCAAGTATTCAGTGGCCATGACATGGTACAGCAGGGTTTTCGTGGTGTTGTTGGAGTTGCCTTTTACTGGGGTTGTAAATCAGGGAAGTGAAAATGCCCATTCTTTCTCAATAGCTTCCTTGCAGGAAATCAGAAGGAGAACATGGAGAATAATAAAGATGAGAAGTTGTTTGGGAGGAGTAGGTCCATTGCATGTAGCTGGCCTTGAGTTCCTGCCTCACTCTTCCACACTTAGGTACCTAGATTTTGTTTTTGGTGGGAATTTTCCTCTTCCCTTACAAACTGCCAGGCACTTGGAGTTGAACTTGCCTTCCTCAACCCAAAAAATCCTAGGGTGATAGTTACATTACTCAGTGGAACCAGGGCATTTTTTTTCTTTCGTTTTTCCTTTATTCAGCAAACAAAAAATTTGTTATTGCCTCGGATATCCTAATTGACCTTGCAGTAGGGAGAGACCCTCTTTCTAGCAGCAAGGGGGAAAGAGGGCAAATCTCATAGGACATAGAGCATCTGAAGAAAAAATAGTCAAAATTACCCTTTTTATTCTTTTTATTTTTTAAATAGTTAGATATTGAGACATTTTTAACACACATTAAGCAGTCATGTATTCCTATGTAATATGTTATTAGCTGGTCTTGAAAACCCAAGGTTTTTGGGAGTTGCAAAGCGTTTTAGTGTTCATTCATCTCCTCGTAGCAGAAGAAAGCTTGTGTTCTGTATTGGGACTTTTCTGCTTTTTGCCACTAGATGGCAGGGAAACACTGAGGAGTGTTGGCATTTGGAGTCTTCTGTGGGTGCATTGCAAGCCAGCAAACTAAATTTTGAGGTTTCCTCTTCCTGCTGGAAGGGACTCCAGGCAGGAGAAGGCAGCTCCCTCCTTATAAATTTCTCCTGCAGCTCTTGCTTGAGACTATGCTTCTTTGCACAGGTTATTTTCTATTGCAGTATATCAGTTCTATTTTATCACCATCTCTACCTCTGTCATGTTACAGTCAACAATTTTGCAATTATCCTTTCCTAACTTTAAAGTTCAAAGTTTCTTTTTAGCTTTTTATTATTATAAATCTATCATTAAGTGTTTTCCACTAACCTTTTAAATTAAATTAATGGAGGGGATGAACTAAGGGACTGTATTTGCAAGCTGCTGCCTTGATGACTGGTTCAAGCATGCAGATTTACACCTTGTATAGTGTGGTGAACTCCAGCCCTTGCTCTTCTCAGAGGTGTGCTGTTTGTCAACTCATTCTGACCATCCTGGGTTGGACAGAAGAGCTGGGGATGAGGTGAGAGGGCAGAGGTCAAGGCAGCTCCAGCTGTGGAGATGCGCTGGGCCCGGGCCATAAAACTTAGCACTGAAGTAAAGGCATGCAACTTTTCTAATGGTCAGGTCTCACTTCTACCCATACCTCTTCTTGTTAAGCTGTACTGAGATTCCTCACTGCTTCCCGTCCCAGTACTACTTTTGTGGCAACTAAATCCTCTTCATTCTTCAGCTTGTCAGTGACAAGTGACATTTGCTGTATGTTCTCTATAGACACAGGAGCTAATAGCATAAAAATAAGTCAGAGCTCTAAACGTGGTGCATCTGACTCTCCAAGTAAAATATTCAGAATACTGTCCAGATCTCGTTGGTTAAGTTTTCGGATTTTACAAATATAGTCTTTTTTATTATTATTATTGTTATGGCAGAAGTCTTCCTCGGGGCAGGGTGGGAAGAGACACAAACACAATGGACTTCTAAAAGTAAGTTTAGTCCGCAAAGGATGGTGATCTTTCCTACGCAGTTCATGATCATTTAATGAACTGTAGAGAAGTTTTAGCTAAATGACTCTGAACATTAAAATTGCTGTTTTTGTTTGTAGTCACTGTACCTGTTAGTATTAAAATGACATCTGTGCTCACTTGTGCGTTTGGATCTCATACCCTTTTTTCCCCTCTTTTTGGTGCAGCCGAATTTGCGGGAGTCCCTGTCCAGCAGTGTGGCCTGATGTTATAAAACTAGCTTATTTCAACACAATGAAACCAAAGAAGCAGTATCGTCGAAAACTGAGAGAAGAGTTTGCTTTGTAAGGATGAAGAATTAGTTGAGCCAACTATAATAGCATTTCATTTTCGTGGAATACTTACCATTTTCACTGTTTTCTAGAGGCAGACTGAACCTAGCTGGAGTGTAAAGAAAAGTCACTTAAAGTTCTTATCCTTCCCATGTTATCCACTGTTTAATGGGGAACTTCAAGAGAGGGAAGAATGCCCTAAAATTTCAGCCACCTGTCAGCTTTTACCTAAAGAAACATTTGCTTTCCATAACTGGTACACCTGCTTTTTGTCCTTGTCTGAAAAACAGCTTGGATTACTTAATTGCTTTTTATTAGGACAACTGGCTCCAATTAAAAATGTAATCTGGTAAACATTACAGTCTTTTTGGTCATAAATTCATTCGGCGGAAAAGAAGAGTTATTTGAGCCGTGTGTTCTAAAAAGGTGCCAATGGACTAGTTTTGTGCAAGCATGAAACATGAAGGTTATGGAAAGCAGCTGGAAGTTTATTTTAAAGCCCTTTTTTTTTTTCTCCCATCTTCAGCTACAGGGCTTACGAGAAATGTATCATCCTGTCTCTACTAATGGGGCTGTTTCTAAAGCAGCAGAAGTATTATCTATAAACCAATCAAAACTTAATTTCTACTCTGCTAAATTCCAAAGTATATAGTAGTAACAAAAGTCTGGGTTGAAAAGGTGTGGGTTTTTTCTTCTTCTTCTTCTTTTTTGTGGGTTTCTTCTTTTTCCTTTTTTTTTTTTTTGGCAAGGATGATGCTTTAAAGCAGCAAACAAAAAAAAAAAAACCCAAAGCTAAGGAACTACCATTGCTTAGTACCAGGTTTTCATAAGGATTGCTCAAGAAAAGCTAATCCTCACCCCTCTCAACCCCCAAAAGTGCTTGCACTGGTAATAAAAGGTGAAGTTTATGTCAGCTTTATCGTGTTCTCACCTTGTATGCAGTTCAAGCTGTGTGGGTTTTGTTAAGATCCAGGTATCTAGGTTAGCTGAGGAATGATATATAAATACATATGTGTGCGTGTGTGTGTATATATACATATATATTTTTTTCTTTTTTCTTTTTTCTTCCCTCCCTCCCAATGACCAGTCTAGAGGTGGGTGGGGTAGGTAGTAAAACGTTGTACGAAGGCGCGTGATGTCAAACGCCCACATGGCACTTTTCCCAATCCCGTTGTTTTCGCAGCAGCACCAGGTTTTCATAAGGATTGCTCATGAAAAGCTAATCCTCACCCCTCTCAACCCCCAAAAGTGCTTGCACTGGTAATAAAAGGTGAAGTTTATGTCAGCTTTATCGTGTTCTCACCTTGTATGCAGTTCAAGCTGTGTGGGTTTTGTTAAGATCCAGGTATCTAGGTTAGCTGAGGAATGATATATAAATACATATGTGTGCGTGTGTGTGTATATATACATATATATTTTTTTCTTTTTTCTTTTTTCTTCCCTCCCTCCCAATGACCAGTCTAGAGGTGGGTGGGGTAGGTAGTAAAACGTTGTACGAAGGCGCGTGATGTCAAACGCCCTTTTCCCAATCCCGTTGTTTTCGCAGCATCCCACCCGCTGCCCTAGACCTGTTCGATTACATGCTCGCCTTGGACCCCAGCAAGCGCTGCACGGCCGAGCAGGCTCTTCAGTGCGAGTTCCTGCGAGACGTGGAACCAGCCAAAATGCCTCCCCCGGAGTAAGCACTTTCCTTTGGGGGGATGTTGGTACTTACCTCTGCACAATGAGAGCCTGGGTTGCTTGTGGCAAAACAAGAATGTTAATGCGTTTAGTGACGATTGTGGGTAATGGATAATGATGGTTCTTCACTAAAAGGACCGGTGCAGTTTAGTGGCTCTTGCAGCCTGATAGAAATGGCTATGAGTGTCTATTTGAGACCTGATTTTTTTTTCTTTCACAGAATTCATGACCTTGCTATACCATTTAAAAAAAAAAACATATAAACATTTTTCAATGTTGAAAAAAAACTTTTTTTTTCCTTTCCCCTAAGGTGCAAAGTATTGCAGTTTGCAGTCACTAAATCATTTAATCTGTGCAAATCCTTTTTGAACAGCCTCTGAGAAACGAATGAAAAAGCACTAGAGAATCTGTGGGTTCCCTCAGTGTAATTATCAAGAGAGGCACCTTGTAAAAGTGAATGAAACAACTGATGACTTATTTTATCGTTGTCAACGGGGAAAATTATTGGAGTTTTCTCTGAGAATTTTATTAAAAGCTGTTGGGATTTGTGTTATAGAAGATTGTTCCTAATGCCCCTGGTGCATTACCTGAATTTTCTTTGCCACAGAGGGTTTTTTCATTGCCTAAATATCTTATATTTTATATATAAGATATTATATAACATATAATTACTGTCTGAATATTATATATATTATTGCTGTCTGAATATCACTGATGATCAATCTGAAAAATAGGCTATTACTTAAAATCTCAGAATCACCTATACTTTATATAGCACGTAAACAGTTTGCTGTCAGTGAAGAAGAAGAAATTTGTTTTTGTTTGGAGCTTTGCGGTGTGTCTGTTTCTGAAGTTGGCTGTTATCCTGGCTGAATATCACCCTGCTTTCAGCAAAGAAATAGAGCTGTTCTGTTAAAGAAAGTGCCAGTGCAAGGACTGTAGGATGCTTTGACACTTGCTGTCGACTACCTGGTCCATCTTTGGCCTAGCATGTGGAAGGAGAGAACGTATGAAGCAGTTGGTGTAATTTCCAATAGCCTTCATTTTCCACCTTCCTGGGAGAGGATGAATGTCTGCCCAGGCAGTTTTTAGTGTGTAATGTGAGAAGAGGACTCTGCTTCACTGCCTTCCCCAGCACTTCTCTGAGCCCTATGGGGATGATCTCCCCCTCTGTGTAATTTAAGGATGGTAGTAGAAGGAATCTACTTGGCTGTCTGTGCTGTGAGATGGTAAAGACTGGACAGCCGTGTCCATTACTGTGGACAAGTGACAGCAGAAGTGGTGCTTTCACAAGAAGGCAGAGGAAATGATAGCCCTCACCATCTTCCCCCCAAACTTCCATTTTGGCAAGTTTGTTACTATCTGTTACTCTATAAATACAATCAAGTTGAATTGCTGCCTTTAGGCTTATCTTTAAGAAAATTGTTCTCTTGAATAAATTTGTTTGCCGTTTCTAATAGTTCTGACGGGAGTTATCAGAAGAAGGCTTTTAAGTGCTAACTGAGTGTGATTTCAGCAACTGTACTAAACAACTAGTAGTTTCACAATTTTATTCACATTCTGAGTAAATTCTCTTTTATGTGCTACAGGTAATGAAGGATTTTAACTTAAAAGCATTACTTTCTGATATTATTTTAATTGGAGATTTAATAAGGAATTTTTCTAAGTCAAAATTTTAACCCAGTCATGCATTAATGCTGTACCATGACACTGACTTTTTATGCAACCAGGTTAAAACTTTGTCGCACAAGAATTATGAGCCTAGACTTCTTGACTTTCAAGTCTCTGCTGATGAGTTCAGCAGTTAAGTTCGACATGGACCCGGAAACAACTTAAACTTCTGCACAGCTTTTTTATGCTTTGGAAGTCAAGAAGCATTTGGTCTCTTTAAGATTCTCTGACAATCTATTTTAATGGCTTGCTCTCAGTGCTAGAAAAATGAGCTGGCTCAGATCTCAGCAACATGAGGTCACATAATATTATTAGGGCTTTTGCCTTCGGGTAATGAAGAGCCCAGTTCGTTACTGGTTTGTGGGCCTCACATTTATCATACTGTCATGCATGAGGTCTTAATGCTGCAACTTGTTCTTCATTTGCTTAAATAGCAACTTCTACTATTCTGATTTACAGCAAGCATGTAGCATTTGTTTGCTGGATTGCAAGTTGTCTAAGTTAGAAAAATATTTTTCTTTTTCGTAAGTAAGGATCGATTTCCAAGAAGGTAACTTTGATTATCATTTCAAGATATATGTTCCCTTTATTTGCTGAAGGAACCTGAAATGGGCAAAGAGTTTTCACCCAGAAAAGAACTTTGGAGATTGTTCTGGATATTGGATATTTTTAAATGTATTTACAAGTTCCAGGAGCTCATCTTTGCAGAATTTATATCATGTATAATCTGTGTTCATTTTATTATGGTTAAAAAGCATAAATTTTCCTGATCAAACTGATGATCTCTAATCATTCTTTGTAGCCTTCCTTTGTGGCAAGACTGCCATGAGCTGTGGAGCAAGAAACGCAGAAGACAGAAGCAGATGGGCATGACTGATGAGACAACAGCAGCCAAAGTCCCCAGGAAGGACTTGTCTCTAGGCATGGACGAGAGCAGAACCAACACCCCACAAGGCATGCAAACTTCTTCCCAACTCAAAACTCAGGGCAGCTCTAGTGTAGCACTTGGTCAGTAATATTTTCAGTTTTTATAATTACCTGCTACTTGGATTGCACATCTAGAAAATTTAGATGTTATTTTCAGATTACTGAAGTCTTCTGGAGAGCGAAACAATCTTGTAAGTTTAAAAAAAAAATCTTTGTTTCAGAAGATTTGCCTTTGCTTTGGAAACCAGGTAGTTCATTTTAAGTTTTACCTAATTTTTCAAGCTGGACAGTGTCAAGGTTCTTAACTACCTTGCTCTGTATTTTCTGGGGATTTTATTCTTTATTTACATGGGTGGGGATTTTGATTGTGTTTTGTTGATTTTGCAATTGCACAAACCACCTGCTATTCTTAAGGTCATCACAGTCTCCCTAGATTGAAGGGATTTTACTGGTAATGATAAACTGACCAGAAAGCAGATTTATAGAATGACCATTGCTCCAAATAAAATGGATGCCTTCAGCATGTTGTCTTAGTCTTCAGCTTTCCCAGTTGTTGGGGCTGAACTTTTAACTTAAAAATTACTGCTATAACAAGAAGTAGCAACCTCTATAGTTTGCACAGCTATTAAAATATAAACTTAATCCAAGTGTCCTCCTTGGAGACCAGTTTTAGCCCTTTTATTCTGCAGGCATCACCAAACTGCTAAGCATTCTCAGCAGGCGTGTTTTCTAACTTGCAGTCTGAAGCACGCTTATGCTCTTCCTCTTTAGCATGTAAAGCATACAGAATAGCCACATGCAATGCATACCTCAAGTTTAACTTAGACCATTTTTTGGTTGTGCTCAGTGACATAAAATCCATTATCACTGATACACGAGCCCAGCTAAAGACAATGAATGAAATCTCTGGGCATGCAAGTTCGTTAATACCAACCACCTTGAATTAGCTCTTCAGTTAGCATAGATCAGTTTTCCAAATGCACTCTACAAAGACATAAAAGTGTGTTCTTCTGATTGCTGATGTTGATTACCCCTTGCTCCTGTCCCTCCTGTTTCTCACCATAACTCAGGCGTGGGCTTCTGGCACTCCTTATATTTGTGCTAAAGTTTTGGGAGCGTTTTCTGACATTGCTTTTGGAAGCACTGGGATTTTTTTCCCCACAAATGAAAACTGTATAGAAGTTGAGGCTCTGATGGGTAGCAACTATTTTTCCTGATGGTTTTAACAGACCATTGGTTGTAACAGACTGCTAACCTTCCTAATCATTAATACTAACCATGCAGAGCAAACTAGCCAACCAGAGAATGGATCAGCAAGAGCAATATTGCACATATGTATATAGAAAAGGAGGAATGTCAGGTACAATGAAGTTCAGACAGGCTGGCATAGACGTGTTTTCTGTATTAAGCAAAGCACTTATTGAAATTCTGCATATAGTTTATTTAAAATCCTTCATGATGCTTAGCAGAGAAGTCGGTGCACAAGTGTATGGTTTAATGAAAGTCATTACATATGTTTCTGAGCCAAAACAAAAATTTGGGCCAATTGCTAATGTTCTGATCCGTGAATGTGAGATTCTGGTTATTGTATTTTTACAATTAATCTGTGTGGAGCTCAGAAATTGTTTTGTGGCAGAAACTACCCAGCTTCCTGGAACACAGTTTGCTTCCAGAATGGGCATGTAACTAACCAAAGAGTAGGAAGGGAATGGTTAGATTGTGTGGGTTTTTTTGTTTGTTTGCTTTTCCTATTGCATTTTCACTTTGAGAGTCTGAGAAAAGTCTTTATCAACAGACAGTCACAGTCAGCTCTAAACCTGACATCTGATCGAAAGTCAGAAGTACAAAATATTAGAAATGATATTTTTTCTGTTTTGCCAAATAGGAGTTTTTTGTATCAGGTCTTGGTGGTGTTTTTGGTTTTGCTTTTTAAAATCACTGCAATCCTTGGAAGCCTTCTCAATGGGCTGTGGTTGCATCCCAGTACACTTCAAGAAGCTGATAGTATTTTGTGGATTTTGCAGTGCCTTGTTGCCAGCTGTGCTCTTTTTAGTCCTGTAAGGCAGATAGGTCTGTGTGTGTATGCATGGGCAAAGCAGGAATTGCATCTTCTGCCTCTTCTGCAGTTTGCTAGTTCTTGATAAAAGCTGTAGTCCTGGGCAGTATGCTGTTCATATCTGATGCCCAGTACTGAGATTTGAAAGCTGTTTGGTAGATTTTTTTTCTCCTGTTAAAATTCCTTATTTCTATTATTATATACTTTTTTTTCTATTTTAATCACACTGGTTTATTTTACTATTTTTTCCTTGTTTGGCAGAAGTGTAATTGAAAATTTTGCTGTTGTCGTTGCGTTTTCAGTTTGCTAAAATATTTTGTCTGTGTGACCGTTGTCTGTGTGACCGTTTTTCAGACTTTGAGTGAATATATCAATGAATAACAGAAAGGCAGAGTGCAAGAGGGCAGAGGGTGCTCACAGGGATCTGGCTTTCAGAAAGCCAGAGCTCTGCCAGTAGTCACGCACAGTTGCCTTTTAACTTTCTCCTCCGAGTCGCCTCCTCATGGGCATGTTAAAATCCATGCTGCTGCTTCTCCTCTTTTAAAATAAACTAACACGGTGGGTGTTTGAAATAAGAAAATGCTTTGATATTCTGACTTCCTTGTTCATATTCCCCCGCCTTGCCACCATCTCCTCTTCTCTGGGGCAAATAAACTCGTTTTCTTGTGCCTGGTCCCAAGCCTGCCTTTTCCTGCTGCCCTGTGAGTGACTTCCTGTCCTTCAGGCTTGGCACCTCTCAGCAATTCTGCATTTGTGCCACTAACCTGGGGGTCACCCAGAGCCTGGTCAGTGGAGCAGCTGTTAGAAACCAGATGCTGACTTGGAATGGGCCAGCATGTGCCTGCAAATGTGTTTTGCAGATGGCCACACATTAGCAGAGGGATGCGATGTGTCCAAGATGGGGAATTTTGTGGGGAATTCCAGTCCTAGAGCTGCCTAAAGCAGGTGGCCTTAAGCCCCAGCTTAGATGTATGGTGAACTGAGCTCTGGCTTGATGTTTCTCATCTGTCCAAGTGTGTGTGCGCACCCCTTGTAAATCATTTTCTTTGTATTGGATCTCACTTTTCCATTTCCTATAGCTACTCCCCCACAGGTAACAAATCTGCAGAAAAAAAAAAAAAAAAAAAGCAAGCTCAATTTCCATGTCATTCAAAGCCATGCTTTGCCCGTGATATCAGCCGTGATAGATTAGTCGTAATTTTGAGTTTCTGAAATATGACAGTTCTAAATAATACTTAAAAAAACCCTTTTTTGTCTTTAGCTAAAACAAGCACTGGACAGCAGTTAAACCAGAATGAAGTGGCAATCCTGCTAAACCTGCTACAGTCTAAAACAAGTGTTAGTTTGGCGCAGTTTGCCCAAGTGTTGAATATTAAGGTAAACCCAGAGACTCAGCAGCAACTAAATAAAATAAATCTTCCTGCTGGAATTTTGTCAGCAGGTGAAAAACAGTCAGAACAGCAGCAGCCGCCGCCACCACCACCACCGCCGGAGCAGGAGCCCCTCAAACAGCCGCCCGTCGCGCAGCCTCCAGCGCCGGCCGCTCAACTGAGTCAGCCCAAAGCTGAGACTGACGCTGCCCAGGCGGCCGTGCAGAGCGCGTTTGCTGTTCTCTTGTCCCAGTTAATAAAGGCTCAGCAGGCGAAGCAGAAGGATTTTGCACCCGAGGAGAAGGAGAACGTCTCCGGAAGCGAAACGTCGCT